AAAGACCAGTTGAGAAAGATGAGCATGGTCTTTTGTCTCTACTTAATGCTGATAGGCAATAAATCTTGTCAGGCATTTAATGTTAGGGCATTATTCCATGGTACAACCTGCATCACCACCTGTATTATCCTGAAACTTTATAAACTGCAGACAAACATTTCAAGACACAGCACACCTTATGGCATTTTTTTTTTTTTTTTGCAATGGTACAGTTTCAGTCTTTTCTTCTTCACATAAGTACATTTCCCCAAGTTTCAGCCACTTATCCTTCCCCCCCTCCCCCCCAAATCTCTAATGACTTTTTATATTACTTTGAGCAAGATTTCGGAAAATGCACAAATGATAACTTGATACTTTTTAAGGCACTCTCATGCATTTTCAGTTACATTCAGTGGTTATGATATGTGTCAAGGAGTAAGTGTGGCCGTGTTTGTCAACTGACAGTCTGTCAGATCATGCAACTGCAAGCATGGCCAAGGTTGAGTTACCTCAGAGCTATGGCTGGAAGGGCAGGTATCTGGGCTGAATGATAGATTTACTGCATTTCTTTCAAAATTTAAGAATACTGTAAGCCAATTCAATCATCAAGTAATTCCCTTGACTTCATTATTCCCAACTGTCAAAAACTATTTTGGGGTTTTTCTTAATAGTCTGCTGCTTTATTTTATTAATACTTTATATGTATGACTCCCAGGCAAAATCCTTGTCTGCAAGTCTGAGTTGCATCTCTCTACTAAATGACTAAAGGCCAATATGGAGACCAGCATTTAGGAGTTAAGGCAATAATAGTTTCTGATGCTTAGCATGACTGAAACATGAGTACTTTTCTTGCAAGTACATGACTAAGCATCAGTCTAGAAAATTTTGTACAATGTGAGTCTTGAATCTTATCTGTTCTAGCTGCCTCATTAGGAGACGTCATTCACCAATACAATAATCTTTTTCAAATAGTCTACCTTTTTGATTTGACTGGAAGAGAAACTCCTTTTGGTCAGCGTGGTGTCCCAAATTAAACCTGTTAAGAGCTCATCAGCAACCTGAACTGTAATCATGAACCCTGAGTTATCTCCCTCTACACAATTAGCTAGCCACATTTTCCTGACTGTCCAATAACACCTTTAGGCTAAAATTTCTTTCAAAAATCCAATTCACTTATGCAACTACTTACGCCCAGGTAATTTTAGGCAGAACTTCCCTGGTGAGGTGTTTGCTCAAAACAAGTAAGTCTAAAAACATAAGCTGTCTGAACATCTTGCATGCAAAGATTCAGAAAGCATGTAATTTAAATAAATTAAGGTTGTTTTAATCCAATGATTCACTTACAGGACTAATAAAAAAAAGCTGTCAAATGAAGCATTTGAATATTGATATATGGATATAGCCATGTAAATGTGTGCTCATTGCAATAGCTTCTCTGTTCCATACTGCATATATAGGGGTTTATTCATGTGTGTCCACAAAAACATGGACAGTAAAATCATGCATCTTAAAAAGCCCTATGAATTTCTGTCTTCAATTAAAGAAATAAAACAAAGCATGAATGTGTAAGAAATGTCGAACTTCCTTCCTATAGGAAAAAAATCATCATTGCTTTTTCCTCATCTGAGTTTTTTTAAATAGTTAAATATAAATATACATGTATGTATACATGCATACATACCTGCTACTGTACCTGTTCAGAAGGGAAAGCTTTCAGTGTTTTTAAAATCTGCATGTATTGCATTTTAAAGGCTGTACATCATCAGATTATGGCCTAATTCGTACATGGAGCCTTGGAAAGGTTCTGTTATTTTCTTCTTAGTGAATTCTGCACAAGGATACACCGTTTTCATTCAGACTTGCAGTGCTTGGAAAGGCACTCATGGTAACTTGTGCATGTTCTGCTCACCTCCCTGAAAGCCAAGAACTATATTTTTGTGTCCAAATCTAGGACGAATCTGAAACTGGCTATGACACATAGATATCTCCAGCTGGACATATCTCTTTGTGTGCTACTCTGTGGTTTTTGTTCCACCAAATGTTTGCTTTTTCATATATTCATGAACCCTCTCTCTCCAATATTTTATTATATCATTAAAAATTTATGGCTGGCACAGAACTGTTGTGAGGGAGTTCTAAAATTAACAAAGGTTCAATAAATTGCAGGACCTAAAGTTTTATAGCTAACAGGAGTTTTATAGATATGTAGATCAATCTGTCTCTCTGTGTATATATAGACTACCTATGAAAGATTTCAGTCCATTACATTCTCCACTCTCTTGGTAGCCACCAGGTTTTGCTTATGACAACATGCTATTCTTATGAAATATACAGTAATTGTATTGTCTATAGAAGTCCTAACTACTTGCTATGGAAATAAAAGCTTGACCACATATATATTTGTTTAATGACACTGAAAGTGCCGTCTCTAGGAAGTATATGTAGAGTCGATTAGATTGTACTGTATACTTTAAGTTGAATTATGTACTCTTGTACAAAAACTCTTCAAAATTATTTAACTTCCCATGGTATAGTTTCAGAAGGTGCAAAAGAAAAATCTTTAGCGTTATCTTTTCCTGTCACATGACTAGTGCAAACACACACAAAAAAAATCTTATCTTTTTGTTTCTTTTCTGGTACTTTATAAAACAGCATAACCGGTTTAGTTCCCAGACATTAAAGACTCCACTCAGAAAAGATTGGTGTTATGTATTCCGCTCTACTTTAAATGTTTCCATTATATAACAGGAAAGATTTAGCCATAAGGGTCTTTCAGTGTGTGGTGGCTGAAGACTTTTTTTTTCTTCAAAATAACTCCAACCCTTCTCTACTGGAGACAGTGACGTTATCTGAATCGTAGACCCATCTACTGTTTGTAGGACTCAAGGGTACTGCTTGGACCCAGGAACAGTATCTGTATGGGAGCATCTTTAGGCTTAGAACAATATACCTCCTCCACTTAACTGTACCATGTTGGTGGATGTCCTGCAACTTAACAGCTGTGATGAACAGTTTGATCTTGACCTGCCAGTCATGTCAATAAAAATACTTGATGTTTGTTTCAAACGTTTTTGGTGTATTTGAGTAATCAGTGAACAGGCTATTTGAGAAATAGGTGCCATATAGATTATTCAACTTTGATCTATTTCTTTGATTTAGCACTACAATTAAGTAGATTTGCTTCAAAGAGAAAGCTCATTGGTTGATGTTTTACACTGATGTGATAATGTTTACACAGATGTGCTTTGAAATCTCGATTATGGTGGATTTTTAGGTCCCACCACATGACAGGCTCCTGTTATCTGAAAGGTAAAATAATATAACATCTATCTGTAACTGCCTTCAGAACACGTCTGCCTGTGCTATCCTCTGAGGTGATTTATCTGATCATTGTATTTAGCATTAATTTTTTCAGTTTTAAATCCCTCCACAGTAAATCACTTGCTTTAAAGCAGCCTTTTTATAATTCAGGTGCACACAGGGGCAGTACTTAGGACTGCAATGATGAAAAGGTGTCACATTACCTGCTTTAAAGCACCTGCCAATTAATTAGCCCTATACTCTCCATAGCAAATAAAGGTAAGCAGTCAAATCCATTTGATCTCTCAGATTTAGACTGTGACTGAAAAGACGATGAAGCAAGACGGGAAAACTAATCTTTCATGATTCTCTGCAACTTTTCTGTTTAAATGAAACCTTAAACCACCAAGTGATTCTCTTGAACTTTTGAAAGAATTAACTGTGAAAGATCTTTACATTTTATACTCTAATACCATGTTTTAACATTGGCAAAGAACTGCATATCTTAGATGCTAAGATAGGTCATGTCATTTAAGCCCTAAAATTCATTAGACTTTACAGAAAAAGCAGGAAAGATGGCAAAAGTCAAGCTCTTAGGTTTAATGTAGCCTTTAATGTTTCACCATTGTTGAAAATGTTTTCCACCAAAATATATTTTCCTGTGTGAACCCTTCTACTCCGGGGATGAAAAAAGTGCCTATGCTCGTCTGGAACAGGACAACAAAGTCCCAAACTGATTCAAAACATTGTAGAACTACAACAGGGATCTTTCAGTAAATATTGCTAATTTATGATGTTCACAGACATTGGCTATGGGCCCAATGAAAAACCCCAAAGAAGATGGGTTAGATGAGCCACTTCTCAATCTTTCTTTCTTCTTCTCTGCAAGTTTTGAAAATATTTATCCCAAACGATGGGGCTGCCCATTTATGTTTTTAAGACCCCCTGTCAATACCCAAATACTATAGATCAGTTTAGTGTCACATTAATGATAAATTAAATGCAAGGGAGAATTTGCAGAGGGGAAAACACCTCCCTGGCTATGCCAATTTCTTTAGAAATTCCCCTCCTTGTAGTTGAAGCGATAAAAGGGAAGCGTAATGCATGTACATTTTATTACCGTTTTAGAAACAGGGAGTAAAACTGTCAGATCTTCGGGTTTTTTCTTTCATGTGTGTCTGGGCAGGTCTAACCCTCAGGTAACGCCCTTTCTCCTTTCTTCCCTCCTGCCTCTCCTTGCACCTGTCCACGTAATGCTCCGGCAGCTCCCGCCCGTCCCCCGCTGCCCGCTCCGCTCCGCTCCGCTCCCCTCCGCGCAGGGGCCGCGCCCGAGCCCCCGCCCCCGCCGCGCGTGTGCGCGCCCGGCAGCGCGCGGGGAGCGCGCCCGGAGCCCCCTCCCCGCCGTCACCGCAGATCAGAGGAAGGTGCGAGCAGAGGGGGAGCCGGTTTACAATTTCAAACGCGGCCTCCCTGCAGCGGCTTCATTAGCATATGTCAGGGGACCGCCGTATATATATATACACACGCGCGAAGCTGATGAGCAGCACCCCACCGCCTGGCTCGCACCGGCTGAGATCAGCACGGCTCGGCTCGGTTCGGTTCCGCTCGGCCCTGCCGGCTCCCCATGCTTGGGGCTCCGCCGCGCACCCCCACATGCCCACCGGGAGAGGCCGGCAGCCGCTCTCCGCCGCCGCGCCCTAGCCCGCTCGCCCCGCGCCCGCATGGCTCCGCTGGCCGAGGTGGGCGGCTTCCTGGGCGGCCTGGACGGCCTGGGGCAGCCGGTGGGTGCCCACTTCTTGCTGCCGCCCGCCGGGGAGCGCCCGGCGCTGCTCGGGGACCGCCGCGCCCCGGCGGAGCGGGGGGACCACCGCGCCCCGGCTGCGGCGGCGGCGGCAGCGGCGGCGGACCTGGCGCACTTGCAGGGCATCCTGCGGCGGCGGCAGCTGTACTGCCGCACCGGCTTCCACCTGCAGATCCTGCCCGACGGCAGCGTGCGCGGCACCCGCCAGGACCACAGCCTTTTCGGTAGGCGGCTCAGCACGGCCCCGCGTGTGCGTGTGCGGGTGTGGGGGGTGTGCGTGAGCGCCTCTGTGTGTGTACCTGGGCAGGAGCAGTCGCGCTCTTGGGAGGGAGATGTGATGCTGGTGATGCTGACGCAGGTGGATGAATCCTCAGAACAGAAAGGCTTCACCCTCCGGCGTTTGACCGCGGGGTCTTGGCCAGTGTAGGGTAGTGAGGGACGGCTGTGCATCCCAGGTGAGTCAGGAGATAGGCATTGCTCAGCCTGTGCTGGGGGTCTGTAAGCACATGCATACACCGCTAGATTCAGTGGGAATGGTCGAGAGTCAGACTGGTCCTTTTTGTATTCACTATTGGTATCGGAGCTTCTTGGGTCTCTGTGAAACAGTACAGGTGTCAGACTTGGGCATGCTGGTCCTTGGGCTGCATTAGACTGCTTTGCTTCACATAAAGCATAAAGCTGAAGCAGAGGAGCCTAAAATGCCTCTTTGATCAAGTGCTTAAAATGCTTCCCAGCCAGCTTTCTCTGTCAATAAACCCAAAGGAGGTGAAGACAATCCCAAAACATAAACGTTTCCTGTGATATGAGAGTAAATCCTAAATAGTAGTTGTAGAAGCTGGACATCTGAACAAACCTGCTGTTGTCAACCACATGTGAGTTTTGGTGTGTATTGATTTAGCAGTCGTAAAAAGGTGATTAAAGAGCTTCCTATCATCCTCCCCATAGTCAAAACAATCTGCTGGAATGGCTCTTAATTGCTTTTATAACACATGGATGTTTTAAGAAGTAGAAGAGCAGTAGTCAAACGGTTCTTCTCAGAAGGAAGATTTCCTACAGCGTGTAAACATGAAATAAATCTTTGCTTTAAAAGGAAAATCAAGTTAGCCATAGATCTAACATTTACTGTGCTTTTTAGAATTGTACTACCTTTATTCTACCACTACTCTTGGCAGGTTTGTCTGATGTGGTTTCTTTGTGGGTTGTATCACCTGCTTATTATGCTTTTGGGAAAAGGTGGCTTTGAAAATGATATCAGAAAGACAAAATTACTCCAAATCTTTTATGGGACTCTGTGCTTTATGAACGGGAAAACTAGGGTGATTTACGTGTGATACAGTTTTTAATGCTTACACTTCGTAAAGGATTTATTTTCTTTGCTGTTTGTTAATACAAAAGAAACCTGCCAAAGCTCAATTAAAATTGAAAACATTTTAAATTGTTGTATAGTCCAGATAGTCCATCTGTCTGTGAGTGAAAATTGTCCAGAAATCATAAATAGTAAACAGACAAAAAGTCATAATCAGCTGCACTATTTAAAACTACTTACCTTAGATTCAGTGTTTTTTTAAACATTTTGTGGTTTTGTTGCTGAACAGCAGTATCTTAGATATGATTCTGGCACTTCTTTTTGATTCTTTGTTTACACTGTTAACAACTTCCAAAACGCCAGTTCACACATTCCCTTTCTTTCATGTTTTGGATGTGCTGTAATCTGTGCATATCAATTGGTTAAGTATGTTGGCTTACCTTTGCCAAATTCAGGCTTCAAATAGTACCACATGTCTCAAATACTTTATTAATATATATTACATTTTTGGGCATATGTAATATAAATAATGTTATAATCCAAACAGTAGCAAAAAAGCAGCATATTTTTTGTACTTTAAAAGCCTGCACTAAAGACAGCAAGTTGTGTCAAGAGGTGTGGGCCATATGCTAGATAAGATGTCTGGCAAATACTTTACTTTTACTGTGGGTAGATTCTGTTATATGAAATTCCCATCTGTACTTTGATTTCCATTCAAATGACCTAATAATGGATGTGGTTTTTAAAGATAACTCTGTAGAAGTAGTAAAGTATATTTTCAGGTAATTCAAACTGATTTTCCAATATTTGAGTAGGCAGTTTAGCAAATAGTGTACATCGTTAAAGACTTCAACAGCATGGTAGTAATGACTTTAGTCTCAGTGCAGAATAAAATACTTTCATATTCTACATTTTAAAAAAATTTCTTTGGTGGTGTAGGATTAATGTTCCTAGATGAGGCTTCTCAGACTGCTTTTCTGTGAATATTGTGTATGTTTTCACATAGTATTTGAAATTTCAGAGAAACTAGGCCACATTTTCCATAATATATGTATTTTCTACTTGTTTTCAACTGAGTTTTTGGATGCTATGTGTTTTATGGTTACAAAACTAATTAAAGCCATTTTTTCCCCAGGTATCCTTGAATTCATCAGTGTGGCAGTGGGACTGGTCAGTATTAGAGGCGTGGACAGTGGCCTTTACCTTGGAATGAATGAGAAGGGAGAACTCTATGGCTCTGTAAGTACCACTTTCATACCAGCTCATATATCTTTAGGTTTTGGTTTGCTTCCTTACACAATGCAACCCCCTCAAGAAGTTCATCTCAGCTTTCCAAATGCTAACATCTTTTCCTGTGAAGTGTGTAATGTATTTTTGAAGTACACAGTGTAGCCTTTGGATACTTCAACAAAATATAATTGATTTTTACAAAACTATGAGGGCAATACGAGTCCTACTCTTCTTTCAAGTTTTAAAACATCTTCAGATAAAATATTCTGTTTCTCCACTTCTTTTGGTTGTAGTCATTCCAGTTTAAAATGTGAGAAGTGATGCACCAAAAAGAAATATGTACATACCTTCCTGGTCTGTTGCCTTGCATCTCTACCAAATCTCATTTTTAGAACAGTAGATACCCCAAGACAGAACTCTACATAATATAATTCCTGTAAGTCAGAGGAGTTTTAAATAAATCAAAAATAAGTAATGTTTTATTACAGTAAATGTTAGCTAATTCATTTTTACAATCCAAAATTGTAGATGTCCAATTTTCCAAACTCATTGTTAGGTCTACATACTCTTCTTGGTTTTGGTTTGTTGACATTTAAATGAACAGTAAGGCTACACAAAGCCTAAAGCATTTTGTTTATTTTTATAATTATTTTTTCATGTCTTCAACTGTTTAGTGACAACTTATTTTTCTCTTTCTTTCTGTAGGAGAAACTAACTTCTGAGTGCATCTTCAGGGAACAATTTGAGGAAAACTGGTACAACACTTACTCATCCAATGTGTACAAACACGGGGATTCAGGGCGGAGGTACTTTGTAGCACTTAATAAAGACGGTACTCCCAGAGATGGGGCAAGGTCCAAAAGACACCAGAAATTCACACATTTCTTACCCCGGCCTGTGGATCCTGAAAGAGTTCCAGAACTGTACAAAGATGTGTTAGGATACAGCTGAGGAAAGAGGCAGCTTTGGCAAAAAAGCAAACTGGAGCTGTTGCCCATGCTTTCATGGGCATGCCAGCATGAGGAACCTGCAGAGGTCTAGGATGCTGGATGTGAAGAACCCGCTTGGTGAAAGGCAAGCCTCTGTTTTCTAACCACTGGATTTAGGAGACAAAGCCTTGAAGCTGAGCATGGACCAGCCTCCTCAAGACTTGCTGAATGGTTTGGTAGCCAGTCGCCAGGGGAAAGTGGGACTTCTTAAAACATGATGAACTCTTGGCAATTCTGTCTGGATTACTGTTGCCTGTAGATTAGCAAGGAACCATCTACATCATATGGATGAGACAATGGCTGGGAGAAATGGAAAGCAATGGACTGTAAAATAGTAATAAATCCTGAGAACTGTGCGTGACGTTTTACAGGCTCCACTTTAGTGATGGACGTTAGATGTCAATACATAGTAGTCAAAACTGGAACTTTTCTTCAGGATGGACCTATTTATACATCTCCAGATAGCATATATTTATTTTATATATTTATTTATTAAAGAGTTTATTTTTTACTGGTATATGAAGAGAATACAAGTTCCTACCCCAATGAGAAATCATTTACAGTGCCAATATTTACTCTGAGCAGTGTCATGATACAGAAATGACATTACCTTGCAATGCATCCAAATCCTGAACATTCATGTTTCATTGTTTATCAGTTACAAATAAGTTTATATTTTATGTGCATACCATTGCCTTGTAACTGTCCTAATTTGGAAAAGAATATTTAATTTTTTTTTTTTTTTTTTTTTTTTACTTATGAGAGTGCCTTACAGATTGTATTAAATTCAAATGCACATTTAAAAAGGGAATTAAAATTTACTTCACTTTCTTTGGTTTACTGTTATTTTTAAATTGAGAGCCTCCTAACACACTACAGGTAACATTTCAAACCTGCAACAATTGTGAAGAGTGTGTTGAAGTTACCTTGAAAGAAAAACTAAAATTAAGTCTTGAAATCTTGATTCAAATCACAACATGCTTGATAGTTTTTGGCCAAAGGATTCCTACTATCTTTACTAACACATAAGTAGCTATTCTCTGTAAAATTTTCATGTAATATTCTCATGTTTTAATTATATTCCCTATCAACAGGGTTAAGGGGAATCAGTTTGGAGTCAAAGTTTCAGATACTCCTGTATGAAAAGCTTCTGAGTGAGGGTTGTTTCTCCACTGAATACAGAGAAGCCAAGAAGATGACTTTCTTACCTTAATTCCTCGTCTAGGAAATATTTTCAGTCTAAGATCTTCTGTGAAAGCTGTCAGAACAAAGATGAGCTGTGTCTCTGTGCTAGTTACAGCTATAAAACAGACAGATCCTACTAATTTAATTCAGAACTGTCAGTTATGAAGCACAAACTCATCTGAATATTAACTGATGGGAAAGTCTGCTCTGCAAGAATAAAAAGGGTTAATGACAGATTTATGATTTAGACCAAAACCTGCTGAAGCTTGCTGTCACATGATTGCCACCTGCATGGACAAGGCTGGCCCAGGAAAACTTCAGGGAAGGCAGTTCAGGGGAGGGCTCCAGAGGTGGTCTCATGTTTCAGATGCCAATGCTCCCAGTGGGCTCCTGCTCATGATAACTCATTTGCATTCAGTTTTATGCAATTGTATGTGGTTCAAGTACTGCACGTGCATAATTTATAAAATCAAAGTATCAATGAAAAGCATTTTCCAGTATATAGCACACTTGCTAGAACCTTGGCTGTGCCAGAACTTCTTCCAATGTATAGTGAGAAGTGGATGAGCATAGATTACTGATGAGATGTTGACAAAATCATTTTACTTTCTGCCAAATAGAAATGAAATGCAGATACACAAAAGCATGTTTCAGCACGTTGTGGCCAGCAATACATAACTTACTGAGATAAAAGATAAAATTTCATGTAAATTTTCTGATAAATGGGAAATGGAAGATCTACAGTGCACTGAAGACATCTTAATAAAATAACAATGTAATGCACTCCAGTTTACCATAAAATAATGTTTTTGCAAGTGACATTGAGTCCCATTAGTAATAGATCAATAGTTTAAGACAAAAGTATTATGTTTTAAATAGAAAAATTCTTCCTCCGCATCTTAAAAATAAGTTTATTCCGCATAAATTGTGTAAAAAAGAAGTAGCTGCTGCTTAGGATATAATTTCCATGCATTTCTGGCAAACACACTCAGTGTTTAAACCATAAGAAGAAGAATTCTCTCTCTGTGGATTACCAGTTTACTGTTCATCTTCAAAAGCACATTGAAGATGTCAAGGGCTGAAATCAACCTTGTTATTATCATTGTGCATCTTTTTTTCACAGAGGTGATACAGCCCGTAACAGTAACTGAGGATATCTCTAAATGGTAAATAATAATCTGAAACTCCAGGATCCAAACATATACCCAATATCCAAGTGAAGGAGAAGAGGGATATGTGCTTGCCCCATTTCCACTTTAGATATATGCAAATAAACCTTGAACAAAATATAATGGAGCAGGTACAGTGGTGATGAATGACTGTACAAAACCTCCAGAGCGCTGAAAAGCTGTCACAGTCTCCTTTTTAGTTCTGGTGTATTGCTATTGAAGAAATATATCAAGGTTCCTTATTTCATTTTGCTTGCAGCATTTATTTGCTCTCTGTTACATCCTGTCCATCATGATCTTCAGATGCAGTTAATGTTTTTCTAGTTTTCAAATGGTGGATACAAAAGTAACACCTCAAAAGGGCAATTTTTATATGTTATTAAGCTAACATAAAATTGTCAGAGGTTGGGGTTTTTTTGTGTGTGATTTTCACTCCCACTTCAAAAAGCCCAACAGCCTAGAGGGAGGGGTTTCTGTTTAACCAGTAGAATAAATGGTCTGGTTTAACTCTCATTATATTTTAATAGCTGTATAAATCTGAAAGGTGTGGGCTGCTCTAATACAAGAGTAATCTGAAAGACATGACAATGTTCAAGGTTCAGAGGAAATCTCTGAAGGCAGAGAAAATGCCACATCTTGAAATAAATTCCTGTATGATTGACTGCCCTATTTCTGCCTTTCCTCATTCATTTTTTTCCCCAGGGAAGAAGAACCATTCAAGATAGTTAATTCGGTTTGCAGCAGTTGCAGCTCCACTTTCTGCTTCCCGTGGGTTCTCCTACAAGCTGTAAAATTTGTCCCTTTGATCTCAGAGCTGGCTTGAAATGGAGTGCTCCATGCCAGTTCTGTATTTCTTCATATATTTTGGCTTTTGCTGCTCTGTTTTCCAAGTTGTGTCAGAAATAACATACTAGCCATGCAAAAGATTTTCTGAAAGTCAGGAGGAACCTTGACTTCTGAGCATATTTAAAATGAAAGTATTACTTCTATTAATCTTTGTGCACTTGATCAGAATGCAGAAAGTAGAATTCTTAACAGTCTTCTGTGGAAGTTTTACAGCCATAATAGCTACGAGATATAGGAGAACTCAAATTCCTCTGGAAATTGGTATTTTTTAAATAGACAAGCTGATAAAATCAGAAAAAGGGGACAGCTAATCTATAAGGTAAACAGTCCTTTCATTGGTCTGAGCCATTTGTGTTGGCATGGAGCAGTTTGAGCCTGTCCATATCTGCAAGTTTTCTATCATAAGCTTATTGATGTTATCTTTCATACTCAGGTGTGACAACCAGCTACACTGCTTTTATCTGAAAATTGAAATCCTTGGTATGGCCATGAACTCTGGTAGCACTTCCGGGTTGGGCAGAATTTGCCTTCTGCCATGTGAGAGTAATTTAACAAATACACTTTCATCATAGCTTTCATTTCCAGCTACCTTCATTTCATGATGTGCTTTGTTTACTCTTCTTTTCATGGGCATCTAATCTAGCTTCAGTAACCTTGTGAAATTTACCTAAACCTAGGCCTTTACCAGCAGCTATAAGAGCAATGGGTGTAATTTAGTTATTTTCCACTGCTTTTGTAATCTTATTAGTACCACTGTGCCACGGCTCTGGTTATAACTTTGCAAATTAGGTTTACTGACTACTTTTTCCATACAGCAAAGAACTAAACAGAGGTGAGGCAATTGTATACACCATAAATGCATCCTTACTCTTGCCTTAATGTACTGGACCAAGCCTGGTACTTCAGATACTAAGAACATGGTGGTAGGATGATTAAGTTTTGCTTCTATTGCTCCAGACTGGAGATGCTATTGGTAAGGAGGCTGTTTGGTGATCTTTACTGCATTTTCTCCTTTCACTTTTAATGTGAGAAAAACTATTAGCTTCACCACTGTTAGAATCTTTGCAATTACTTGGTAGTTTTTTTTCAATAGTAGATCCATTTGAAGACTCAAATTTATATGAACATAACAACAGCTGCATGAGATAAGACACTACCACCTTGGAAGAGCACTTCACTGGAAGGAGGGTAAGACAGACGTACATTCTAGGGATTCTCCTCCATCAGTTCTCCTCTGGGCTATTTCCTTTTATGAGGAAGAAAAGAGAAATAAACATTTCACAATGTTGAAAAATATAATGGTGGAATTCTTCACTTCCTGGACGTCTGCATAAATGTACACTTTATCAGACATTTCTCTTAAAACAATTGCCTTTGTGGTAGTGTGTTCAGCAGCTGTGGTGGAATTGTTGCTGTTTCTGTTCCTAGTGTCAGTGCTTGTCTCACTACATGGCAATAAATATATTGTTAGAGAGGGAAAGAGCATTCTGAAGTTGTTAGATGTCATTAAGTGGTAATCTGGGAAGTTTGGTTTTTGGCATTAGTTTTAACTCAGTTTTTGATACAAAGCTTTGTGTAAGTTTTGACAATCCTTTATGATTTCTTAACATTCAGAGATTCATGGGCAAAAACCAGAAAGTTGTAAAAGCTCTTCAGTTGGGCCATACTTAACCATGACATCTTTATCAATAAGTTGTGCACAAATAGGAAGAAAAAAATATCCAAACAGGGAAGAGGTCAAACAGTTACTTCTATTGCCGGTTGGAGAGAGATTAAGTTTCAAACAGAAATTGGTTGGCAGTTTGCCAAAAGAGCTGTTTAATCTGCAACATGATCAGTCACTAGAATCATTCTGGAAGTGCAGGAAAAAGAGAAAATAGTGAATTAAAACAATGGTGACAGTAGCTCTCTATATTTTGAACATATCCAAAAATGCTGTTGTTCTCTTATTAAAGCAAGTCTCTCATAAAGGCAGTTTATGGGGAAAGGAGTAAAAGTGTTAGAAAGGCAGTCGTTTGACAGTGGGCTGAGTAAAACTCTTCCTGTAGTAAGGTCCTGGTTTATATATTTTGTCTAATTACAGCAAAATTGAATAATGCTTTATTTCACTTAAAATATCACAAATCATGTATTACTTTCATGGGTATCTTCCAAGTCATGAGGGGTACCTGATTTACAAATAGAACCTATTTAAATCACATTGTTAAGTCACATTTGGTTTCCAAACGTAAACTTGTAAATATATATCTATATCTATATTATCTATATCTATATTATCTATATCTATCTATATCATCTATA